TGTTCCGGTTGTTGCCTCTTTTGAATCATGAATACACACTACCGCCGCCTGCTGGTAAGGAGAGGTATTGCCACTCACGCATACGCAGTTTGCCCTTTAAAGGTCAACTCAAAGAATGGTTGAGAAACAAACAGACGTGCAATCACAGCTAAATGCATTTTAATACAGGGGTATCTCCTCTTGAACTTTATGTAGCACTTTTATCTTTTCTTGCACTTTATATGTCGTAGCTGCTATATTGTACTGCCATGTGGTAAATACTCGTGTATGCTGTTCTTGCTCTTTTGCACTTTTTGCATATCATGTATTTTGTTTTTGCTATGTTTGTAAAATGTAATTTTCTTAAATGTTTTATGTGAGGGACTGCAGATGGAAATGAGCTCAAAGCTAAATCTGGCAATGTTTTAAGTGTTCATTACTGTGCATTCTCCCTGCCAAATAAATGATTAAATAAAAAAATAAAAATATTGAAATAGCCAAATATTACAATCCCAAATTAGAAATCCTTCATCCAAGGTTGAGTTAAAGATATCTCCCCTTGAGAGGGACAAAGTATTTAAGAACAGTCACACGGAATATACCTTTTTCATTTTGGAAGCGTCACAATAAGGCTTTAATTGAACGAGAGGGTGTAAAGGGCATCAAGCTAAAGTAACAGTTAATGGCCAGATTCCATTATCAAAAGTTTGAATGATTTTAGTTAATCGATAGGACGGTCATATGGCTCATGAAGTCAGCAAAAATATTAGTTTCCTTCAGATCTTTGTAAAAAATGTTTACCAGAAAGCTTAAATGTTTTAGTTTTCCACCCAGTTGATGTGATCAGATTGAAAATATACTATATATATTGATGGCCATTTTGTGTTAACTGTCATGTGACAACTTGCACAAATAGGATTGTTCAGCAAAAACGTACACTTGCATTCTTATTTCATACCCGCCGAATACAAACATTTCCCAGCGTAACATTTATACATTTGATTGTGATGTGTTTGGAAAGCTTAGAGATGTGATGGAGGACATTTGTTGGCACAAATATGTAAGAATATGTTAGTGCACCCCTGTGCTATATCTACAAAAGCCTGTTTTAGGAATACACATAGTCCCTTCCTTATCAGCGGTCATACTCAGTCCATCATTACTAAGGCAACATTTAAGATGTTTGTCTCCTCTCAATGTAAACTCAATAATGCCAACTCTCAGTATAAAAGTGTCATAGTGGATTGTTCAACAAAGACACATAAATGTTAACAAAAAAGATGCTAGTTTTTGCAGATTAAGCTGACAGATTTAATTTTCGCTTATTGTATAGAAAACAGATGTATATACCTGGATAAAGAGTAGACACTTTATTTAAAAAAAGTATGGGTTAAGATGAAACACGCCAATTTTGTTCCTTACATTCACACAGAAAAACGATTTGCTCTGATGAACACAGTGGAATAACAACCATTTGATGCATGAGTAAGAGCACAGGTGTATATTTCTTCAAAACGGAAAACCTTGGTATTGACTTAATAGTAATGTGAAGTCCAGACGAAAAAAGTACTTTAATTACTTTTTAAATAAAAACTCCAAAATAAATTAATTTTATATTTTACTGAAAACAATCCTCATTCAGGAAAGTTCAAACTTGTTGACAAAATATTTACATTTCAACATGAACATGATCTTCCAATGAATGAGCCTCCTTTAGAGAGGAATACGTACGCCGGGTTACACATTCAATACAAATGCACTAGTCTCCATACAGCATGTGAACAGGTTAATACCTTTCAACAACAATTATTCAGTATAAAAGTTGTCTAATGATAGGTTTCTGAGTAATTTAGAGGTCTTTCAGTAGCACGTTTAAGTTTTCTCAGAAACTTAATTTTACATTTGTTACATACATTTTTACTTTGGTTCAAGATAAATTCAGAACACTTTTAATGACCTCAAAGTGTCTAAGAAAATCCACAAAACTCACCAAAAAAAGGATTCCTCTCATGTATTCAACAATACAATTACTTTAAGGAGGAAATAAACAAGATACAAATCTTTACATGTCCAAAATGTACAACTTTGTGTAGCTCAAGTTCAACATAAACACAACAAACATCTGCGCTCTTCAGCTTTAAGAGAACAATTTCAAGTCACATAAATACAACCATCAATCCACAAAATGCGGAAAACAATTCAGAAAACAAACAAGTGCAAATGCATTCCAAATTATTATATAGGTAAGTTTGAAATTCTGCATAAATTAGTTCACAGCTCAGGAGTAAACTCGTATGCAAACATCATGTAAATGTGATCTATTTTTTATAGATGAGATTTTTAATATAAAGACATTGCACTTGGCCAGAGGAGTTTTGCCCCTAACAAACTACCCTCTGAAATGAGAATCTTTAAAAAAATAAAATACAAAATTGTTCGGTGAAAGGTAACCATTTTAGTGAATGATCGAGACATGCATCACTTTATGTATGAGATATAAAATCAACATTATTTGTAAAAATGTTGACTGTAAAACAAAAACATAAGGTCACCCCTCTTTTCTAGCTGAATATGCATATATAGAAACTAACACCAGTGCTGTGAAGTAATGACATACAAAAAAAAATGTGTTCTAAATCTAAAACTGTAATTTTACACCAAACAAACGTTACATGCTGCTTAATGTTTCATATGTAGCTATTGTACTGGACCAGAAATGTAATTGAGTTGGGAGAGGTAATGCAGTCATTACAGTTCACAATAAGTAGGTAAGACATGACCCTCTGTGTTTAAGCAGCATCAACTCAACAGTACATGTTTAACTCAATGCACAGTATCAGTGCAAGAATTGAGCCTTTTAAAATCAATAACACATGCACCTGCATTCATGTAAGAGGAGCATTGACAAACCAAAAAACAAGCCCAGATCAAAAATAATAAGAATTATAAGCAGTCATTAGTCATAAATTAAAAGGCATAATATCTGATTTCGCCACAATTTTCTCGTAACTGAATGGGAGTTACGCTGTTGACAATCTGTCAGCTGACATCTGTATTTTCCTTAAGCACCAGCAGACAATAGGTAGCTGTCAGAGATCTAATGTTTTCTGGCATCACTGACCTACCTCCTGGTCCACAGACACACCAGGGCTGTCAGAAGCTAGAGGGTGACTCACGAGAGCACAGAGCCATCAGCAGCTCATCTCCAGTTGAGGTAGATGTAGACTGAGGCAAACACCAGGTTGGAGGTCAGGCTCACCATCAGGAGCCCAGGCCAGATCAGACGCCTAATGAAACCTGGAGAAGTCACAGTGAAAGTTAATACATCATAATGATGATGATTCCAATTAAATGAGTGTCTTTTATACAGGTTTATTGTCAGCTAATGCTTTTACTTTCGTGTCAACAGTTTTCAGGCAGTTTAAAGTGAATTATATGTGGGTAGGACCATTAAGAGAGCAGTTTTGTTACAATTATATATTTGGACGGTTAACTTAGAGAGAAACTGAAGTTTGGGCACCACCTGGTGGCTACAGTTGGTCATTGGCACATGTGTTTTATTGTCGTTTTCAAAAATATTGTTAGGCTCTTGTGTAAAATAAAAGGATCAAAATATAGCAGAACATGAGACATGTATCAATTATTTGATTAGAAGTAAATACAATGCATTCAGGAAGTATTCAGACCCCTTAACTCATTCACATTATGCTGAAGCCTTATACTTAAATGATTGAAATAAATCTTTCCTCATCAATCTTCATTCACTACTCCATCATGCAGCAAGACGGGATTTATTATTAGAAAATGTATTCAAAAGAAAAAAATGAAGTACTGACATCAGTATGTCATTAATTTAGTCGGACATCCAGTTAGACAATAGCCATGAAACCAGGATTAAATGATGGTTTACGGCCAGCCATGTTTAAATCAGACTGCTGACCTTTGGAAGGAGCGCCGTTCTCAGGTCCCTGTGTGGTCGTCCCAACAATGCATGTAGAGGAATCAGAGGAACTGCCCTGCTTCTCTTCCTCTTCAATCACACTGCCGTCCCTAAACAGAGAACTCAGATCTGCAAAGCAATAGATAAAACCGCAAATATATTAATACACTTTAAATATATTCACTCCGCAAAGAGATTAAACTGTATGTAGGTTTTGATATTGTTGGCCATCTGGTGGTTATATCATGAATGTATGGTAGACAGCACAGCATTGAGATAAATCGCTAATGCAAGGAACATTTCCCTTTTAACTCAAGCTGTACTTACCATTTTGGCTTTGAAAGGGAGATACGTCAGGGGATAAACAGCCACTGTAAATGGAAGAGGCCGAATTGAAATGGAAATGTGAAGAAGACACAGAGGGGGACATGAGGGTGGCTTCTTGCTCCCCTGAGAAAAGCCGGAGTTTTCGACCGCTGATGTTGAGACGGGCGGGGCTGATGAGGGGGCGCCGGAGTCTGGCAGAACCTGAACTGGACGTAACTGACCCGGCGACCGAGGGAGCTGGAGAGGGGCCCGGGGAGGATGGACGGCTCCCGGATATCAGTGAGAAGTAGTCTGTGCCAAAAAAAGACAGCGAGAAATGTCAATGAAGTGTTCTGAAAGGGTAAGGAAATGGGTCAAATGCAGTGTTGAGGAGAAATCACAAAAGGTGGTCGAACTATTTTTTTTTCCTATGAAGGTTGATACCCGAGTGAAATTACCTAGAAGTATCTAATTTAAGGAGCTGTTTAAATTCTCCGAAAGCTAAGGACAGGTGCTTAACCCTTCTCTTGCGTTTCGGGTAAAAAATGACCAAATTACTTTTGTTTTAATCATAAATATTGTGTTTTTCATCCAATTGCCTCAATACCTTATGTTATCCTCCACACTAGGCCTCTGAACATAATACACTTGATGATCACCACTTGCATTGAATTTTTTGTGATTTATTCAACAGTGAAACACCCTTGATGTTTTCAGAATTGACCGCCATATAAAATGAAAGGGTTTGAGTGTATTATGTTAATCCTGCAGATGGAAAAAACAAACACACACATGCACACTACGGGAACCTCTCCCTTTCCCACGCCGTATGATACAATGGATCATACCTTCTCACAGGTGCAAGCTCTGTGACCCTAGAGAAACACAAACCTCTCACTTTCTCGCGCTAAATGCGTCTCCCTTACTGGATCTCAGTTGTATTTGTGGCTTGCTCACATTTGACTCATTGACACAATGAGCAGGCGACCGATTAGGTGATTTTCTGTACGAGGGGCTCTGGACACGTTTTTTGAACCAGATGAAGGATGAGGCCCCTGAGATAGAGGAGCCTGAGGTGACATTCCACAATTTTGCATTGCCAACTGTGTGTGTGTGTGTGTGTGTGTGTGTGTGTGTGTGTGTGTGTGTGTGTGTGTCACACACGGTATATTTCTCTTTCAATACATGTTCATTGAGGAAAACAGTATCAGTGTCTTATTTTATATTCATCACAGTGAGTGCTGAACTTGATGGGCCCACCGGTGGGTCCGGACCATGACATGAAACACTGGCTTGCTTGTATCAAATCAATACATCCCATACATCATTGGAACGGGAAGAATCTCAGCTACAACACTAACTGAAGCATTTCCATCTCCAGTAAACACAGCCTACATGGCAAGAATTTTTATAATATACAGTTATGTAAAATAAGCACTATCTTTTAACTTACTGCCAAACATAACATTAAATTCACCCCTGGTGTCATTCTGTCTGTCACCCCTTGATTCTACTTGCTTTGACTGTTCAAATGAGATGTCAACCATCAAAATTGGACAAGGGGTTCCAGAGATATCACTGTGCAAAACACACCGGTCAATTTTGACCGAAAATAGCATGGGAAGGGGCCAGGGGGTATGACCTAACGCAAGAGAAGGGTTACACACTTACTTTATTGTCTCCTTTAGCACAGGTTATAATAGACTTTTACTTTACTTTACCAAAGGAAAGGAGATGATGGCATCCAAAAATAACTTTTCGTGATACACACCATTTGGCCATCAATAACAAAACCATTGCATGGTGTAGGTAGTCTGAATTTCTTAGCACAACTAATTCCTTATGTCTCCTTCAAATCTTTGCTTGAACACATGACGACAAGAGACGTAATTATTTTGACTATTGGACTGCAGCACAGGAGGTTTAGTACCTGAGGGTGGGGAGTCTTTGTAATGTGAGGCTGGTCTGCTTCCACTGAACAGGTAACCAGAATCTGAAAATAAAAAAACATATACAATCATACTTTTCATCACAACCAGTAACCAGGGCTTTCCTTAAAGCAGAAGAAACACAATTTAAACCAAGAGAAGCTAATGTTGTATTTTTACTTAAGATAAAGCAGCAAATAGTCAAAACTGAGGTGCTGCACGACAGTTTCTTCTGCTTAATAAATAACAAATGAGAATCAATTATCCAAGGTGCTGAAGACTAGGTCATGTCGAGCATTTATTGAATTAACATTTCAGCTGTGCATTGAAAGCTTTAACTTCAGTAGGTGTAGCATCATGGTACTCATGAACAATGTTAAATGCACATTCTTATACAATTATATCTTAAAATGGATCTAAATTGACGGCAGATAAATTGACCAGTCTTTAATATCAGCCTAAATTAACTCATTGCATGTATATATGTATATGCTTGCAGGTTGGCCACTTAGTTATGTTTGGAAACAGTAGCGTGACCCAATTGTATGCCAAGTAGCAGAAACTGAAAGTAAAGCTACTGAATCGTATCAATCTAGATCTTGTCTGCATGCAAAGCAGCACATTGCAAGAAGCAGCTCAAGATCAAACACGTCTGAGCAGATATGGGGAGCCACGCAACAAGAACTTTAGGCAGAAGTGAACCGAGTACTGCTGAAGACCCCTTCACTGATTTTTTGTTTGTTTTGAGACCACAAATGAATGACGTACAAATTACCAAAATCACACAAGTCCCAACTAGAGATTATGCTAAGCATCAAGCATTTCGTTTTGAATCCGTCTTCTAAAAGTGTATGGAATAATGTTACCTGTCCTGGTGAGGGGAGGGATGGTGCCGAGGCTGAGGGCTCTGCTGAGGCGCCCCGGCAGAGAGGAGGGGGACGCCTTGCGCTCGCGAGGACTCTGTTGGCGGTTGAGGAGCTTGGAGAAGTTGGGCGGCAGGGTTGGGACGAATGACTCCACCAGCTCCGGAGAGAGCAGAGGAGGCTGGCTGCTGAAGGGGGGGGCTGCAGAGCTGCCTGCAAGGTATCTGCAACACAAGAGCAACGGTCTACTACCAAATTACAACAAAACTGCTTTGATGCTAAATAAAAAGCCTAGTTATACACTTGTGTATTTTTCCAAATAAGGACCCCACAAAGACAATTAAAATAGTGCTTTATAGAAAATTCCCCTTTTGTGATTTCTTGTGTAAAGTAATCAGGAAATTAGATTTATCATCAATGTACCAATTCAATTCTAAGATCTGAATAACAAAACTGGTAAAGTCTGCAATCAAATCAGTGGAGAAACTGTGTACCCCACATCTCTGTTATCCATTCAATGCGACCACTTTATAAGCACTGAAATGCTACTGCAGCTGCCGGACCACATGCAGCAGCTGATGGCTTCTTCAAAACAACAGCTCCAGGACAAATGCTGCCCAGCAATACAGACCAACTCGCTTTCATTTCCACAACACACAATCAGTGGCCCATACATGTTGTCTCTCAAAAGTCCTCCTTAACAGTAGGCATGGCGAACGTTAAGTTGATGTTTCCCTTTGATTCCAATGTTGTGTAATTAAGCTACTCTGCAAACAAATTGGAAACATATACATGTGGACAGGGAGTTTGTGTTGAAAACAAACAGAGAAGACTTATCCTTTCAGCAGATGTTTATTACGTTCCATGTACAGTGTGCATTTATAGTATACAACGTCTTCAAACTGGAGCCTTACATTAAATGACAGAAAGACGTCCACTCTTAGCATATAGGCACCAAAAACATGGTACGTTTCATTGGGTGGTGCATGTATGTTGCAGGAAACTATCGTCATGGACGGACCTCAATATCTGAGGCTACTAAACATTATATAATCGCATAGTAAGCGATTCAATTGAGATATAGTTAATTAGCTTATTTAGGCTTTGGATTAAACTGGCAAATTATTGCTTTGAGTGTCAAGTTCCAAGATTTGGGTTAAATAACCTTTTATCTCTTAAGCTTTGAGTACTGAGTTAGTGTTTCTGCAACACACACAATGCTTAAACATTTAGGTAGTATACATACTGGATATTCATAGTGAAACAGTGCAGTAAAAACATGACATTCACACCAACAAAAATGAGCTCTGAAGCTATCACTGGTCAACCATCACCACATGTTCATGGCAATGGTTTAATGCTACACTAGAGCTTGGCAGTTTAAATGTATGATTAACATAAATGTTTGATGCAACGATTCTAAAGCTAAATGCACGACATTAATGAAGGTTAACACTCTTATCAAGCAGATACAATAATTCACTAAAAACCACACACAAATAGCCAAATACTCAGACTCACTTCAAATACTATATATTATGCATATCATAGCATGACAAACATGCACAATGAAAATGTACAGCGTACACAAACTTCTAGCACAGCATGTAAAACTTTGGCAAAGACAATACATCTTACCATACATAAACAAAAAAGGTTAAAACATCTTACTTTGAAAACACACACATACACTTGAGTGTCATTGCACATCTTTCATTGGTAAAAAAAAAAGAAAAGAAGAAAGGTGTTTGTCCTACATAAGTAACGAGACCTTTTTGGTTATCTTGAAGACGGAATAAAGCATGGCGTGTTGGAGTTGCTACAGATTAAATGTTATCTTTGTCAAGAGTTTAACATGCAGTTTGTCACATAACACAGCTTATATAAAAGGTAAAAAGGAAACAGAGTACATATGGTATGATGAAATAGCCATCACTTTCAAAACACCTTCAAGAATAGTGAGTTGTACAACTAATAGCGGAGACGATACTTTCCCCATAACCTACAAAGATGTCTTAAAATGTGCAGCACTTTTATTCTAAAACTAAAAAAATGTAAGCTTTGATACTACTACCACCATATGGCTTGGGTTTGAGAACATAACTCCAACTAAAGGACAGCACCACATGCAATCCAAACCCCACAGATACCGTACAAAACTCACCAAATGCAATTTATAAACACTTTCAGCAGCTATTAGCTTGAAAATCCTTTTCACATTACTGTCATATAAATACATTTTTCCTTCACTTAATACATTCTAAACAAGTACAATAAAAAAAAACTATAAAAGGAAAAATTAGCAAGAGCCAAAATGTTAGAGCATGCTACTAGTAGTCCATCAGTGTTTTAAATACATCAACATGCAAAGTTATTAAGGGAAGTGCTAAAAATAAATCTAATAATATTTGTTGCTGATGGCAACGACGCATTTTCTAATTTAAACTTAAAACTATTAAAAGAGTCTACTTCTATTGTACACACATTAAATGTTTGTGCGTTCAAGCACTGTCACAAAGGCTGCCGGACATTACCATTTGGACATGATCACCTACAGCAAATACCAAAACAAGCACCTGCCTGATCAATGGTCATCTTGAGGCACTAGTTTTTAAGCAATAGCTTTCAGCACATAGGAGAGTAACAGGAGACTATTTTAAACACAGTATATGTGGGTATAACTGGTTTAAAGTGAAAAAGACTGCGCAATTTAAGAAAAAAAACGGATTAAGGGATATTACAGCAATGGGACGAGCGCATCGAAACAACAAGACTTTCAAACTCATAGCAGCGTTCTTGGGACTGCCTTTTCCTTGCAGGAAAATGGCTAGATTTTCAAATTGCAATATGCAAATGAACCTGACGCTATCATAATGGTGAATTCCCATCGTTAATAAAAAAACGGTTACATTTACTAATCAAGATTTGTAAAATGTTTACCAACTGGATGAAAATGCAACGGCAGCCTTTATAGGAATAAATCCTGCTCAGCCTTAAAACTAATTGTTGTTGCAGCACTGATGTTGGAAGAGATTCCCAACAAACAACAGTTATAAATAAAAGTGGCTTCAAAGGACATACGATGAACACTTTCTGAAATGTCCAGGGCCATTCTTTGTTCAGAAATTGTAGATGACGTGGCGCAACACAGAAGGGAAGAGATTATTCAAAATAGTTATTGAACATGGCCTGCAGTGTATCGCAAACTAGTACTTCATGCAATGAGCTGTTTAGTATTATAAAGTAATGATTTTCAATTCCACCGCTTCACCAGAGTTAAAAAATTTGTGAGTACATTCAAAATGCTTTCAAACATTCTAACAGTGTAAAATACATTGCTAAGTTTAGTTGTTCAGAGCTTAACGTTAAAATAGCTAAATCGTTATGATTGGCTTAATAAGATATAGTCACAAATGCACATATGTTATAGTTAATAAGGAATTACAAAAAGCAGTTAATACACACAATTCATTTGAGAGATTTTGGTACAATTTTCCCAAAAACACTTTCTGCAAAATCAGCACAAGATGAAAACATATAATACTCTTTAAGTGTTTTTTTCTTCAAAACCCTTAATTCTCTATTTTGATTACATTTTTCAAACAAGACTAGTCCGTTTCTCTCATTGAAACATTTTAACAATGAGAAAGTCAACATTAGTTAAACCAGAGATTGAGAATTGTGAACAGTTCATATCATACCATCTTGTTTTAGTGTAACAAATTCCTTTACAACTAAATTAATTTCAGCCTGTGCTTGAGGGTGAGGTTTTGATGCCATTGAGCAAGAATCTCTGATTCTAGTTTCCATAATGGGCCACACACACCCTATGCTTTTAGTTTGCCATTCACGTCATAACCTCACAGTCATTTGCACATTGCAATAAAAAAGTTGTTCCTTTACTGAACATTAAGAGATAATAGATTTTGGCTTCATCCTGGTTCTAAAAAACACCAACAATTATTGGAAAGAGGGCTCTTTACAAAAATCTATGTTTTAAACACAATGAAATAATTACTGCTCAGATTCTGACCTTCGATATCTGGCTCTCCTTGGACCCAGTGGCTTGCGCGTTGCCACAGCAGCAGCAAAGCTGACTAGGCAACAGAGGCAGACGGTGCCGAGCTTGGCTGTTTCCGTCCAGCCGGAGGCATCAGTAAGGTAGATCTCTGCCAGGTGGAGGCATAGGATGAGGAACCAGAGCACAGACGCCACAGCATCAATTCTCCTCAACCTGAAAAAGCAGCAACATATTTTTTGCCAAAGAAATAAACATGTCTGAGATTACTTTTCTTGAAAGGAAAATAAAGAAGCGAGAACTGCTTACCTCACAGGTCCTGCTAAGAAGATAGCAGTGAGACACGTCAACAGGCCAACACAGACTATAGCCAGCTGGTTGTTCTTTCCATGCTGCCACACCAGCTTGGCCTTATCTATGGCCTCATCTGGGAGCAGCTCCAGCAGATCCTGCCACAAGGGCACGCCTCCACTGCTGTCATTGTTGGGGGCAGATTCATTGTTGGGCGTAGGCTTCGGAGGAATAGCCCCACCACTTAATATCTGTGGGTCTCCAAGTGATGTATGCTGGTATGGCAAGGCACACAAAGATGTAGCGACTAGGAAAGCACATATGAAGAAGGTAAGGGCCCGTAACAGTATGACCTTCATGGGACAGGACACAGCATGGGAGCTCTGCGGGAGAGAGGACATTTTTTCAGTTAGAATCATGACATTTCACAACGTATGACTATCAACAAAGACGAATGTTGACATATTTTAATAAGAGCAGGCAGCTATTCCTGGTGGAGGGTTTAGCCAATACAAGTTTTCACTTTCACACAAGACTAAGGGCCTTTCTCATTTCTCTAATTCCCCTCCTCCTATCCTCGTGTCTTAGTCCCGCCCATAGGAGATGCGACCGGAGGAATCGAAGAGGGGAGCCGAGGAGAGAGGACGGGAAGCAGCAGGCAGTTAGAGAAATGAGAAATCCTCTCCTCTGAGCAGTCATTTTAAAGAGACATCCATTAACGATGACAGGAGGCACAGCCCTCTGTCTGATGGACAGGACTGTGTTCATGATGACTTATATATTTACTTTTAATTAATTCACAGTGCGATATAATGACTATAACAATAACGACTCTTTTAAACATCACTATTGCCGGAAATACATTCGCTGAGAACCCATCAGTGTATCCTCGATTATAGCTCCTCCAGAGAGCCTCCTTGATGCTCGATCCTTGAAGTGCATTTAGAGAAATTAGATGTCCTTCAATATGGAGCGCTGAAATCCATTTCCGGGTCACTACCGGAGGACCGAGGATTCGAGGAGGGGAAATTAGAGAAATAAGAAAGGCCCTAAATCTTTGGTTGATTCCAATTAAAAACACTGAATATGCCAATTGTTTTGACACAGGTGGTTCTTTATAACTGGTGTTACAGAGCTGGTTGACAACTGGCTGTGTTAGCCCAGGTTTATCAGTTCAGGTTTGGGCAAATGCGCGTTTTTAAATTACAAACCAAGCTCATGCAATATAAACTGATCGTAAGTAGATTTATTTATTATGAGATAGTTAAGCGTACTTATTGGGGTTACAATAAGTAACAAAGTGAGATCAATTCACGTATACAGCAAACATTTTTTGCAGTTTCTGCTTACCAAAATTAAGTGAAAACTTAAGAAATGTTAAGCTTAAAGAGCGTTTAGTTTTTGTGGAAAATACAAAATTAAACAATGTGAGGACACATTTTCTTTATTACTATCACCTCAGTGAATATATAAAGATTTGACCATCAGATGTTCTAGAGAACGACAGTTAAAAAGTAATTGATTTAATAATTGGACAGAATTTATATACAGGTTGTTCATTGGTATGTAGCACTTGTGTGACCAACTGTTTTTACATATCTGGTATAATGACATTTTGTTGAAATGTACACACTGCACAGCTTAAGCTAACCCATCAAGCCTTACTTTGATCCATGTTAATGCATCGTTTGATTGCACTGACCTTTACAAAGCCCTTGTCGGTTTCTCCGCTGCGTCGAAGAGGATGGTTGAGGAGCACGGTTCGAAGGTGACGGTTTTGAAATTTGATGTAGTACTCCACAGCTGTCTGACATGGCTTGCATAACTTATACGTCTGCTCCAGGTGGTGCTTGTAGGCTTCAATTTCCTCATCGTAGTTATCCTACAAATACAAAATAATAAATGTAGTGTTTACAGATGTCAGTCATAGTAACCATAAAGACAGTGTTGCAGTGAATAGGGGAGAAAAAAGTACTTACATCATTCCTTGGGATAAATGAGGCCAACTGTTTGATGACAAATGTCTGGTTCTTATTGCACTTCCTGCACAGGAGCATCTGACTGCTGACCGACTGCTGAGTCTTCGGTGTTGAGGGAAGGCTACCAGATACTCCATGGTTCAGATTCTCCATAAACTGAGCTGGTATGGGTTTGTTGTAATCCCCATTCTGAGAACAAGAGGGCAACACACATTTTACAACACAGGCCAAAAAGTATCTTCTGCAATAAATTATTAATTATGTTTTTTTTTTTTAAAACGTACCTCCTGAAAGCCATTGTATTGGTCGCAGTTTGGACAGTCCCAGCAGTTTCTGTTCCCAAAGGGTACCACATAGTTCTGGTTACAGAACCAGCAGTTCACATCTGCATGGGTCGGCTTCTTTCTGTAAATAAGAGGTATGGTTATTAAACGATGCACCATGACACTGTTAATAAAACCGGTTGATGTTTTTGAAGAGTTGTCCCACAGTGGCACACTACATGGTGTTTTCAGGGTGGTTCGATTATTCCCCAGTATCACTATGATATTGAAAAGGTATACTCATTGTCTTATAAACTGAGTAAGTGGAGTACGCGTCAAAGTTCATGTTAATCTAATTGGAAGTGATTGACATGCAAACGTGTGTAAAGCCATGATGTTATAAATGTGAAGTAATTGTGTCCACATTGAATTAATGTCACAAATACACCCAAAAACTAGAAAAATGTGTGTGTCCAAAGAACATCAGTAAAAGTCACTGTGTATCCAAACGTTAGAGCGGCACATAACTGCCTGGCTTCAAGTGATCTTTAATTAGCACAACTGCTAGCAAAGTTAGTGTTCATGCTAACGAAGATAAACAGACTCCTCTTGGGATATTGGAAACCTATTTATATATGTTATTGTTTCTCGAAGGTACATTTAAAAACTATGCAACATGGTGTGCTTACGTCTTCGAACATAAGCGGGAATCAAGGTAAAAACACACAAGTTAAGAGCCTTCAAGTTACCTGGTGGCTAGTTTGTATATCAGCGCTCCAACGGCGACAGACGCCGTAGCTCCTACTCCACTGTACATGAATTCCGGATATTCCAGCAGAAGCTGGGTAAAAGCCTCCATTTCCACCAAATATGCAGAAGTAAGCCGTTTAACAAAACACGAGAAATGTAACTTATGTGTTCGGTACCGCAAAACACGGCGCGAGAGCGCACGCGGCAAGCGATCCCCTTTTGTCAACGCCCATGTGCCGGAAACGGAATCTGCGTCACTGCCCGGACGAGTTCCAATAGTGTTATCAATTCCTTCATGTCGACTTTTACAGCCACTCATTACTGAACTATTACACACGTCTTATTGGGTGTATACGATTTGGGTTGTTATAAGAGTCTGTATTTGTTAAAACCAAAACAATCACACTTATGTTTGGTTACAAAAACCGCGTATTTCAGTTGAGGGTGAGTATGATAGTGTTGGAATGAGTGATGGGACCGTTTCTATGTTTTTCCCTCGAAGCCTTGTACTGTGCTGTAACCTTTATTTATAAAACGGACAAGTCAAATCAAGCAATCTGATTGGTTCTTAGCCGTGATATACTGAGCGTATACCACGGTAGAATTGTAAGTTACCTTTCACAACAAGTCAGTATCCCTCCGCGTCTGAGAAAAACAGTATACCGTTGGGCTGTTTCATACTGGAACAAGAAAGCAGCGGAGAAGTAACGGGACAGAAGCTGGGCAGAAGCCCTCCTTTTTGACGCAGCGGTCCAGACATAGACATCAAACGGCAAAACATATTCAGTGTGCAGTTCCTTTGGCATTAGGGCAGGGATATCTAGATACTTTTGAAGGTTTAACATAATTAATTGTGCTACTTTTAAAGCAAGCAACGATGTTTTCAAATCTGTAATCAAAGAGGTCCGCAAAAACGCTATCGACCAATCAGATTGCTTGATTTGACTTGTCAGTTTTATAAATATATTTAAATTTCTTCCGTTACGAAACAAACTTACAAAGCATAAAATGGAAACATTTAAGATTAATTTCGACCTCCGGGGGGGGTCTTACTTATGGAGGAGTGGATTGAGCAGTGCCTATCTCCAGAAAAAAAAAGCACCTAAACTACGACATGCAGAGCTACGTGAAGAGCAGGTAGACCAACTGGAAAAGTAGCACCATTCAAAAGCTTTCTGATGCGGGTCTTGAAACAAAGCAGAGAAATTATGACCGTTAGTGGCCACAGGTGCGAAAGCTCTCTCCAGAGCTACTGGAAGCCCAATCTCGGGGACCAGAGAAAGTGGAGCAATATTCTCGCCATGCCAAGCAACAGCCTCGAACAACCTCAACCTATACAAGTGACCACGTAAGCCATGCTACTGATGCTGGACAGTTTTTCAGTGGATGCACAATAAACAGCAACATACACATTAATGTAAATAAACAGCCAAATAATGGATCAACGCTCTCTGTCTAATATGTTCGCTTGCTGTTAGTGTTGTTGCATAGCAACCACCTTTTGTGCAGAAGGCAACGGAGGGACTATTTTATTTTGAACATCATTATTTACTAATAAAAACTATTTAAATTAGAGTGTGTATTTTTCTTTCATATTGCCACACTTGGTAACCGTTTTATAAAAGCAATAGCTCACTTCAGGCCGTGATATATGCTCATTATATCACAGCTAAGGGGGTTGTCGACCCTCCGCTTCGCGTCGGGCCGAACCACGCCCCTTAGCTGTGATATAATGAGCATATACCACGGCCTGTTGTGAGCTATTGCTTAAATATACAGCCTATGGCTGTAACCTGTTTCTACATTTTGATTTCGGTCTTTCAAATCATAATAACCTCCTTAATATTACTTACTTATTTGGTTGCATCCTTACACGTATCACGTATTATGCCTACATTCATTCAGGCAGTCTACTGTAAAATGTCGAGGAAGGCGACTGGCTACTACTGGCTAGTTGCTAATTTACTGCAACTTTCATACTTTACTCCTCCACAATTTAGAATCAAATATTGAACTTCTACTCCATTGCATGTGCTGTAGAACGTTAGTAACTATTGCCGTTGCAAATATTATATTATATATTGTATTATTATATTAAACATTAAATATTAGGACTATAATATTAACTATAATCTACAAATTAATGTATGTTTATAGGTTCATCTGAGACAAAAGTAGTTATGTAACTTAAGGAGTAATAACCCAATTACTCAGTGATAAGTAATTGTACTTAAATTGCTTTAGTTTAAGGTGACCTGACCTAAGTAAGTTCGATGCTTACTATTTTCACTTTTATTTGTTACGATTTTTTTGAATGCATGGCTTTTATAAGAGTATAGCCTATTTCCAGTAGATTTGCTACTTATCACTGGTTATAGCAAGACATGTTTAGTATACAATTAGTTTTATCATTTAATCAAAGCTTATGTTGTGAGATGCATCAGTTTAAGTAATAGGCTATCTGACGCTTACACAAAAGGCCTTTCTCTAAAAACTGTTAACTTGAAGTTAAATGTGCATAATAATAAAAAGGAGTAAGTCAGTCAATAAGGGTATTTAATGCAAAAATAACATTTTATTTGAACAAACATGATGTATTTTTACATCAAGCAAACATTCACAATTGAATAAGAAAACTGATCAGTGCTTTGGTGTCACCAATTTTGCATAGCAGCTTGGAGCATTGGATGACCCAAGAATAAATAAATAACACAAAATATAAAATGTAAAGGCCTATAAAAAATGTTTGCATATTACAAGTGTAAAAATATAAAAACACAATTTGATTTGGTTGCTTCATAGATCTCTAGCTTAAGAAGCATAAACTAAACTTCTTCCTGCAATTTACACTTGACCTGTGCCATTTGAGAAGCAATGCGATTAGACAATACTTCCTTGGCATTTGAAACTGTGGTCTACCGAAGAAAACTTAACCAGCTTTTTAACAATGAATACACCGGATAACTTCACCTTATAAACGAATGGCAGTCCAACTGAAATGGTGAAACAGATAAACCTCAATGAACTGGCGGTCAATAACTGCGAACCCTACTGGTCAAATGAATAAGCAAGCGGAACCTCCGTTTGCCGTGCATAGGTGCTGAGCTGCTGGTACGCCACCGACACGGTGCCTCCGCCGGGGCTCAGCGGCTGGGTCACTCCTCCGTAGGGAAAGGCGTTGTGGGGCACCAGCACCGGTGTGTGGCGGTGGTATGAGCCGTAGGGAGAGTGATGGAAGTGTGAGGGAGAGCAGTATGAACTCACGGGGCCGCTGGGGGGCACGCTACGGGGGTGAGTGATGACCTGGGGCGCCTGGTATCCGGCCGGCTGGGGCAGGCTCCAGGAGCTGCTCACATAAGGCAGGTAGAGCGGCTCGGGAAATTCCACGGAGTTCCCGGTCAGGTAAGGCACACTCGGAGGTCTGTAGGGTCTCCTCACCCTCCTCCGCCTCCGGTAGTTCCCCTGGTCAAACATGTCCTCAAATGCGGGGTCAAGCATCCAATAGTTCCCTTTCCTGTCCCCTCCGTTCTCCCTGGGTATCTTGACGAAACACTCGTTGAGAGATAAGTTATGTCTTATGCTATTTTGCCACCCTTTTTTGTTCTTCTCATAGTAGGGGAACTTGGAGATGATGTAGTCGTATATCCCGCTGAGCGTCTGTCTCTTGTCGTGGCCTTCCTTGATGGCCATGGCAATGAGAGCAACGTATGAATACGGAGGTTTCTCCTGCTGGCCGGTCTCCTCCTCACATTTGGGCTCAGGCAGGGGCGAGTTGGAGCTGATGTCCAGGAGCTGCACTCCCTGGTCGGCGGGTGATTCCTTCTCTGCATCCATGGCTCAGGTATCCGCGTGTGCGTCCTGCTGCTGGCAAAAATCTGTGATCAGCTAAGCAAGGCAGCGCTATGATTGTGTCTGCAGGTGCACATATACTCCTCCCACAGGTACAAAGCACCACAGTTTCTTTCATCTCGCTGGGTTTCTCACATTGTTTTTGCTACTTTATGAGTCTACTGTGCAGTTTGTTTAGGTTGAAACAGGGGTCACAGGGATGTGTTATCAAAATGGTCAACATATTCCCACGCTGGAGTGAGGCGATCAAAGAGCAGGTGCCCTGTGTCTTTAAATACATTGTGTTAGATGTTAACTCTTGTCTTTGGATCAAAGCATGTTGATTAACACATTTATTAAACATGTTATGTTCAGTTCATGCATAAGATCATCTCTGCACAAATTGGCTCCCAGTCCCAGCTAAACTAAGATATTACAAATAATGATTATTTTAAATAATGATTATTTGGATATAGTGTTATACTGTATAACCTATCCAAAGCCAGTAGTCAGTCTGTTCTTGCAATTATTTTTTCCAATTATTATCTATGAGTATTTATATTTATATTTTAGTTAGTTTTTATTTCGTCAAGGAGATTCACCTCTTTCATAAAATAAATATGTATGAAATTGGCAACACATAAACATACTCTATGACAAGTAAAAGTCCTACTTTAAAAAAAAATGTTTCTTGATTTAAAAAGCACCAAAAGTAAAAATACTTAATACAGAATTATGCATCTTTGATTAATGTATGTTAGTGGATCATATCAATATCCCTTTAATGTTATATCTGATAAGGGTGAAACACATTTTATTGAGCCTACTTCATATACTTCTTGGTCATCATGTGTATTTCAATTAAGTATGCTTATCTTAGCCTACAATAATTCATCATACTTTAAATTTGTTTTATTTTGTGTTATTAATGACAATACGCAGAGCAACTCAAATGATTTAATAAATAAAGTGCAGCAAAAAGTTCAATAACTGCCTCTGAATTGTATTAAAGTTCAAGTACCTTGTACTCGTAGTTAAAAACAATACTAAATTATTATGGGGTGGCAGTATCTCACTCTGTGGAGACTTGGATTGGGAGCAATTAGTGTTGCTTGTAACTCCCACACATTATAGCTGCACAGTGCTCGTAGTATGGGTAAAATGCAGGGCTTTTTTTCAGTCAGAATATATGTGAAATTGGAAAGTCGATCCGATTTGAATCCTTTTTGTCTTCTTACAGTATTTACTATCCACCCATATACTGTAGTGCTTTTTGTCACTGCTTTATGCCTTTAATTATTTACGACACTTAGCTGTACAGAGAAGTATTGAGTCTTGCAGCATACCACCCACATACAGTGAGGCATGAACAGCAGGCCTGTCCGCTGAGCGTGGCAGATAATGATCACCTGCTCTCAGCAGACAGTCTGTCTCCCCTGTACTGATAGGGAGACACAGATCTCAAAAAAGGGAGCAACAAGTGGAAAGACAACTATGTCTTTGGCAAGGAAGGCATTTTAGGTTGGCCATTGTTATTACTGTCAGGGTACAGAGCTTTACTGAATATCTTTAAAATAAATGCTTAAGGAGATCCTCGTTTCATTAAATAAATAATAATTCTCTGGATTCCAATGGAGGGACAACAAACTTGGATTAGCTTTAATGAACAGAAAAACATGCAAAATACAAGAGGATATTCAGAAATACATAAAGGTGCAACCTCTTAGTTTAACCACAGAAAGGACAATCCAGTGTTAACTGTTAAACAACAATGCTACAGAAATACTTTGCTTCTAGTGATATGTTTTTACTAGTGTGTCCATTATGAACAAGTTCTTTGTTTATTGAGAATGGTTAAAAATCCTTAAAAATATGGTTAGCAACATAACATACAATAGATTTGACAAGTGATCAGACCTAATGTGTTCCCTTCCAATGAACACACAGTTTGGCCTGAAAAGTTAGGAATTGTTGCACTTTGTTTTTTAAGGTCATAGTAAACGAAAGACACCCAAGACAAATTAATTCCAGGATAGGTACAGTCTGCAATGTACAGGTTGTTATGATCTGCGTCCTCTGACAGCAACCTCCAAACAAAATAACAGTAGGAGGACAACATAATTACAAGAGAGTGGAATGTAGCACTTATAAGAGTACTAAAATATCAATGTGTGACAGATACATGATCCTAATCTCTATTTCACATGGCTAAAGTAATACCCTGTACATAAAAAACAAAGATCACATATTAACAAAATCCTTATGTTTTGGGTCTTTTCTTCTAAAAAAATATAGGCTTCATAGCCACATATATTCAAGGAGTCCTATTTCCTAATCGCAGAGGTGAGCTTTGCACAGACCGGGACAACATTTATCCTGATAGACTCATATTTCTCATATGCTCTTTTGAACTACTCAATTCTTAGTAACTAATGAAAATGACAAAAGGAAACTGGACAGCCCTCTGTCCCATTTCTCACAAAGAAAGCTAGATTTACCTCCTGATGTCATATGAACGAAGTGAGGCGCCAGGCTAAACACAATCTCTGTACTTTCAGCTATATGAGACCAAAGAAGAATGCAACAAAACTGCCAAAAACGAAGATCATGAATGCTAGGTTTTGGACAAAGGAAAAGTAATGAAGAGTTACACTCCTCAAACATCCTGAAAACATCCCTCAAGTTTGAAACACAGATAAACTGATTGCACTCAAGTGATATAATGTCCTGTATTTAATGTGATGCTGTTCAAATGTTCAAGTATTTGAAGATCTTACTTGATGATTATTAGAGTTTCAAGGATTACCTTTTATGTTCTCTGGTTATTTATTTATAATCGAGCCATCACACAAATAACATACTGTTTCAACAACTTGGAAGGAAGCAAGACCAACAAATGAAAAAACATTACTTGATGATGACCAGTTGTTCTTGACTAATACAAAAAAGGCATCACGCAAATGTAGCTTACTAGTTTAGATATTTGGAAAAAATGGACAAAGCAGATATGTGCTGCTGCATGTAAATACTATTCTTATTGAGTATTTTAACATTCAGGTGTTACTTAAGCAGTTAATTATTATGTTGTGTTCAGGTCTGCCGTGACCAGTTTCAAGTTAAGATTATATAATAACTACCCTCTAGTTTTTTTTATTGGAGCAAGGCTTCATGATATCTACGAAAGGTAGTATGTTAACGCTACAAAACAGATTTTGACCATGTTAGCTAATTCTGAAGGTACCCAGCAGTGCATTGAAATGTTTTGGGTAACTCTGCATCAAATTTGGCTCAATCAAGATGAATCTCTGACTTAAGACACCCCACCCCCACCCCTTTCCTCTACTGGAAAAATTATTTTCTTGCAGAATGCACATGTACTCCCAATTCCTCTGGCACCCCTCCCCCCACAGGAACTCAACTTTTTCTCACACAGAATATGGATACACTGACACTGACACTAAAATTGTACTTGGACTTGAACACACACACATGCACACACACGCATGCATGCATGCACACACGCACGCACGCACACACACACACACACACACACACACACACACACACACACACACACACACACACACACACACACACACACACACACACACGCATGCATGCAGGCACGCGTGCACACACACACACAAACACACACACTCAAAAAGAATTCCCCTTGATTTAATCATAAGTCTCAATCAAGTCTCAATGAAGATGTATATTTGACTCCACCTCCACCCCCCTTCCTCCACGGGAACAATTATTTTCTCGCAGTACAGCTTGGCCTTTGATCAACTTCGGGGCGTGGCATGAACAACATTGCACAGATTGTCTTGCATAAACTTCTATAAATATATATGCCAAGTTGAGTTTCATTCATCAGTATCTATCGATTTTACAATGAGCAAAATACTTTTCACTGCCCTTGAGGCTCTCGATCAATCGACGGCCGAGCACAAGCATCAGAGCATCTTCAGAATGACCCCTGGGCCAACTAGATTTGCAGTTTCACATGTCCAAGATAAAAAGACAGCACAGAGGTTACCAAGTTCTAAAAACTTTTTTTTGTTGAATTCTTATATTTGTCTATTATAGTCAGATAACACAATTATCCACTGTCCTCACTATAGGAAATATAATGAGTGAATTTAATCAAATGTTTTACCTAAAAATATGTGGTCTAATATGTCTTAGAGCCATATAATAAAATAACAGCAGGATTGTATGGTTATGAATGCAAAATAAGTTAGTTAAGATGTAGTAAAAACAACAGAAACAGGTTTCAATACAACACAAGGGGTTAAGATGATCACTTGAAAATAATACATTGACTGTAGACCTGCAATGATCAGGAATTTCCCTACAGTCATACCATAAATACCTTTTACGCACAGCTGCACCAGTCCAGAAACTCCTCACAACAGTTCAGGTGGCGCAACACCTTTTCTTTTCTCTTCCTGGGTGTTGACATGAGTAGAAATGTTAGAGGGTGTGTATGCTGTTGAGGTCTAGGCAGCACAATGCTTTCAAGTGAGATGAGTGATGTCCAGCTGAAGACATTTTCTCAGCTCCGGGCTTTGAAACATTTACTTCTCTGCCCTATGAAGATTTTCAATGCACTTACATTTTGACTTGTCATAGTAGGAAATGCACAGTTGAGTTATTCACACTGGTAATGATGGCGCCATTGATTTCAGTTTCCTACTTTGACGTGTCTTGACTTATTACCTCTCACCCTGTCAGAAAGAAAAATAAAACAAATCAAAAAGGGTAAATTATTTTGATAAGTTATTTCATTGTGAATTCAGCATATGTAAATATGATGAAATCGGGTCAAACAGTGTTACAAACTAATGTAATCAATTACTAATTTTGCAAAAATGTAAATAGTGCTATGTTACCTTGCCATTGCTGTTACCTGTTACACATCATTGTCATGAAAATAACATAGAAATGATTAAACTTGATGAAGTGTTTGTGTTACTTCATATGTCACCAGAAAAAAAGGA